TTACAGATTGTCTTCAATGAGCTGGATGTTGTTGAAGTGATTTTGTCTCTGTCATTCTTCCTGAAAGTTTGTGATCAGTTTGGTTATTTCTTAGAATACTAATAGTCTCTTTCTTGATTCTAATTAAGTTACTAGTAACTAAGCAAAATAGCCATTAAGAGTTATGGAAATGTAATTGCTCCACCAACTGGTCAGCTATAATATTATAGCAACAGAGATGAAAACAACATTGTCTACTTATGGGATAATTTTTTTAAAAGTAATTACAGATAAAAAGAGGAGCAGGTTTTTAAAAATAAGTTACTTTTGGGAACCCATCATAGTGAAAACATTGCTTTTTTTTTTTTTTTGGCTTCATGTTGACAGATTCTTTTAAAACTTATTTTCCTTTTCAAATTAAGTCAAATGTGTTTATTAAATCCATGTCTTTGTTCCTTGTGTGAGGTAGTGACTGAGGCAGATTTAAAGAAGGACCTTTCCCAAGGGAGCATAATGTTATAAGGGAGGCTGTAATTAACCTCAAAGCATACTAAATAATCTAACAAGCAAAAAAAAAAAAAATGCCACCAAACTCTGTTAATGCTTGTGTAGTCTCCATAGATATTGCTCAGTGTCCATGTCCTTGGCTTACAATTCAAAAAAGTATTTTTCATGATTTTCTTTTTATTAGTTTTTTTCCCCAACTAAACCCTCTTAAGTAAAAAGAAAACAGTCCATAATGTTTTTGCTTCTTTGTGAGAACTTCCCAAGACTGACTGCTCTGTGACAGTCTCCTAAAATGCGTGAGCTGCTCAAAGATCTCTGGACTGAGATGCAGGAACCCGGAAGTCTAGTTTCTCTTCTGCCATTGGCTTCCTGTGTGGATTTGAGAGCTCGTTTTACTCTACCAGGTCTGTGTTTTGTTATCCATCACTTGAGGCCCTACTTGAGATTACCCTACTTCCAGCATTAAATAATCCATGACTTTAACTTGCCATGAGTTGCAATTACACTTATCACAAAGCAGTCAGTTCTTCACGAGTCATGCATGCTCTAGAGCCATGTGTCTGTGTCGATTATAAAAGTATGTCAAATATCATAGTGATATGAAGAATTGTTGGAGAGATTTGTGTGTGTGTATGTGGTGGGACACACGCATGTGACCATGCATGCACACCCACACACGCTATTCTTCCCTCAACTCACACCCCACAATGCTGACAGTGGACTACAGTGTCACTTTTTGGAAAGTTCTTTGAATGCGGGACTTTACATGTGCAAGGCCTAGCAACTAAAGGGATTTTAGAAAGTCATCTATCTCCCTGCCTCCAATGGAGGTTAAGTCATCTTGAAAAGGTTTGTATTATCTAAGAGATAATTTCTTCATTCATTCATGACATATTTGAGTACTTACTGAGGGCCAGCCTGTATTCTCAAAGAAAAACAAATGAGGAAGAGAATTCCCTAGGACAAAGTAACAGGGATAGGGCAAGTTATTCTGGAGTTCATCCACTAAAGTTCTGGTGCTTTTTTGTTTAGTTGGCTCGGTTTTTTTTGACAAGGTCTTGCTCTTTCGCCCAGGCTGGAGTGCAGTGGTACGATCTCAGCTCACTGCTCCTCTGTCTCCTAGGCTCAAGAGATTCTTCTGCCTCAACCTTCTAAGTAGCTGGGATTACAGGCACCTGCCACCATGCCTGGTTCATTTTTGTATTTTTAATAGAGACAGGGTTTCACCATGTTGGAGGTTTCAAACTCCTGGCCTCAAGTGATCCACCCACCTCTGCCTCCCACAGTGCTGGGAGGATTACATGTGTGAGCCACCATGCCTGGCCCGAATTCTGGTGTTTGAAATGTGGTGACTTTAAATGCTGACCCTGAACAGCAGGGAGGGGAGAGAAAAAGGAAAGAAAGAACGAGAAAAGGGCCTGAGAGTGACTTTTGTAAATGTTTAGTTATAAGAGAGTATGGTGCTAAACAGGAGGTGGCGGGGGTGCTTCAAGGTGTGTAGGCTGTCATGATATTTGTCTGGAAAACAGATGATGTCACTTAAATGCAAAGCATTAAGTAAATTGCTGCCTGGGGAGCCAGATGGGAAGGAGAATAAATCTGGGTAAACCAAAAGTTAGAGGAAGCATAAGTGCCAAAGCACAAGGCAATTAGACCCTGAAAAGTGTTATTTCATAACAGTAGAGTGTCTTAGATAGCAGGAGAGAATTCACAAAGGCTCAAGGCCCATCATTTCCTCCTATTCTTTTGTTACCTAACTTATTACCCACAGATCACAAGTTCCGCCTCTTCCACCCACACTGTCCCTCACACTCTCTTGTAGTTTCAGCGTGCTGGTCGCTGGTCGTGACTCATCCCACACCTCATTTTGCTTTCAAGCCTCCCTGCACAATACGGTCTCGCCACTACTACAGGATGCCGTTTAGCACGCATGATTCAGGCTGTTTCCATTTTCCAACTTTATCTTTCGCCACCTGAGTTCTGGCTCCTGCCCTCTGTTCTGCAGCAGCTGGATCTGGGTGAATTCCAGGGTCACAGGGTGAATGGTTGCTTTTCCTCTCTTGCTGGATTCTGGGCCGTCTCTAACGCACCCACAGGGTACAGCTTGCCCTCCCCTCTGTGCTTTTCTGCAGCATCAAATATGAAATAGCCACATCTCAGAAACTGCTTTTGTAGAAACAGGCACTGAGAAAGTCATGGAACCCATTGCAAACTGCCTCAGAGGCCAGTGCTTTTCAAAAGACAAAGTGGGGTGGTAAGCGTTGAGTTACTGCCTCTTCTCTCTAAGCCCACCTTGGCCAGCAGAGAGTGTGCTTATGCTTCTAGGTGTGACTGTGTATTTTTATGTAAGTTTTGTCCTTCAAAGTAGTCACCTCAGGAGGTTATACATATATTCTGATGATGCTAAAGATATTTTTGAAATTCTTCTCTTATAATTTTAGCAATAAATTTATATTAAGAAAATCAGGGTAAGTTTATAGCTGTACTCCCTTCCATAACTAGTCGAACTCAATAAGCCAGGCTTCCTAATGAATTTTTTTTCAGAAATCAAATCTGTCTTCTCTGAAGATATTCAAAGGGAAGTGTTGTAGGCATTGAACGCCATTCCAAAAAGGGATTTCCAAAAGTTTGCTCAGAATTGTAGCACTTGAGGTCTCCCAGGGATACTGTTTTGATTTATTTGGATGGATGAAGTCTGGAAATATTTATTTTAAGAAAATCAAGCAAACCACAATATTTGGCTTCCTGGCACAGGGTCCCTTTTCTCCTGGGAGGGTAAGAAATCTTGGCAGGTCCTCCAAGTTTTCCTCTGTCTCAGAATACATTTCACTGAAATTTGATCACCGAGTGAAATGACAGTTTACCCGAATCAGGTTGGTTCCTTTACAGTTTGTTTAGGAACTTGACCTTTTCAGCTTTTACAACTTGGACTAAACATTTATTTAGCATTTACTCTGCTAGGTATGATGAGAAAGACAGAACTGAAACTGACATTTTTTCCTTCCTTGTTTTGATGCTTGGTGAGCTGCTACTTAACCTTCAAGGCCTAGTTCAAATGTTACTTACTTCCTTGAAATTTTTTCATATTACATAGAAGAAAATAAGAAACACCTCAAACAGATGAAAGTAATATTTGATTAATATGGTAGTGATTAGGAAACGTATGCCAGTCCCATGGAAGTTGCTTTCCTCCACCTCAAAACGGGCATTCTCTACCAATGTATGTACAATGGAAGAAAGGCATCATTTCCATAAGGAATTCTTATATACAGAGGCTACACAAAGCCAGGTGATGTTTCTTAAATACAACATTAAAAACTACCATGAGCTGCATAGTGTTGGTTTTGGTCAATAGCCAGAATAATTGAGATATTCCAAAATGACAGTATTTGACTGACAAATGACATAAAATTATTTAAACAATTATTACTAAGCTTAGGGTTACATGTCCAGGTTTGTTACACAGGTAAACTTGTGTCATGGGGATTTGTGTACTGACTCTCTTATCATCCATAATTATTTCATGATTCATTATTCATAGTTATTTTATCATTATGCCTGGTACTCACTGGTTATTTTTCCTAATGCTCTCCCTTCCCACAACTCCCCTCCACAGGCCCCAGAGCGTGTTGTTCCCCCCATTGTGGCCATATATTCTCATTGCTCAGCTCCCACTTGTGAGTGAAAACATGCGATGTTTGATTTTTTTGTTCCTGCATTAGTTTGCTGAGGAAAATGGCCTCCAGCTCTATCTATGTTGCTGCAAAGAACATGATCTCGTTCTTTTTTAGGGATGCGTAGTATTCCATGGTGTGTAGGTACCACATTTTCTGTATCCAGCCCACCATTGATGGACATTTAGGTTGATTCCATGTCTTTGCTATTATGAATAATGTTGCAATGAACATGTATGTGCATATGTCTTTACAACAGGATGATTTATATTCCTTTGGGTATATACCCAGTAATAGAATTGCTGGGTCAAATGGTATTTCTGTCTTTAGGGCTTTGAGGAATCGCCACACTGTCTTCCACAATGGTTTAACTGATTTACACTCCCACCAACACTGTATGAGTGTTTCTTTTTCTCCATAGCCTCACCAGCATTTGTTATTTTTTGATTTTCTAATAATAGCACAATTATTTTTTACCAACATCTTAGTAAAACTTTCAAACATAAGGCAAAGTTTAATGAATTTTACAATGGATACCAGTTTACTTGTCATCTAGATTTTACCATTAACACAATAACCATATTCTCCTTATCACATACCAATTTATTACACATTCCTCTATCCGTTTTGCTTTTTTGAAATACTTCAAAGTAAACAGCAGTCATGAGTATACTTCACTCTAAGTAGTTCAGCATTCATGTCATTAATTCGAGTTCAGTGTTTGTTTTTTGAAGTAAACTTTATACACAGTAAAAATGCACAAATAAGTGTACATACAGTTTTCATAAATGCTTATACTTATGTAACCCAAGCCCCTATCAAGATATAGAACATGCTCACCCCAGAAAGCTCCATCATGTTCCTTCCTAGTTCACCTCTGTCCTCAATCCCCACAGAATGGTTTTCAACAATAATTTTTCTAATTCAGTACAACTTCTATAACTTACTAGAGCCACCTCCTCTTACTAATAAATTATTGGGCAAGAACTATGATGTGGCATACTTGGAGTATATTAAAGTGAGAGACTAAATTTTTCTTTGTATTTGTTGCTGGTATATGTCAACAACAAAATTAGTGTTGTGGTTAATGACATATTCTTTGCAAGATTACTCAGTAAAATGCTGTCCCCATACTGCAACTCAACTACAGATTTTATTTGTAAAAATGATTTGCCATGGGTCCTTTTTTAAAAATAAGTTTTATTAGGCCCTGCCTCATGCCTGTAATCCGAGCACTTTAGGAAGCCAAGCCGAGCAGATCACTTGAGCTCACAAGTTCACAACCACCCTGGGCAACATGGTGAAACCCAATCTACGAAAAATACAGTAGGTTGTGGTGGTGTGCGCCTGTAGACCCAGATACTTGGGAGGCCGAGATGGGAAGATCACTTGAGCCTGGGAGGCGGAAGTTACCGAGATCACACCAATGCACTCCAGCCTGGGTGATGGAGTGAGACTCCACCTCAAAAAAAAAATAGATGTTTATTGTGTATGTGATTTAAGATATACAACATAATGTTATGAGATAGAGTAAAATGGTTACTATAGTGAAGCAAATTAGCACATCTGTCATCTCACATAGTTACTCATTTGTGTGTGTGTGTGGCAAGAGCAAGTATAATCTGTTCATTTGGCAAGAATTTTGAATACGATACACTTAACTAGAGTCCTCATGTTGTACATTAGATCTGCTGCTTCGAATCCTCTGACTTACATCTCTCCATTTCCTCCCCACCACCCTAACCCTGGTAATCAGTTTTATTCTCTATCTCTGTATTTGAATTTGCAGTATAGGTCGTTTAGGGGGCCTAGTATAGTTACTTTCCTCACTGCTTGGGGCTATGATGGGGAAAGTGAGGCTGTCCGCATCCCTCAACCTATTACTTCCTGGGGTGGCCCCTCCCATCTCTGTCACCACTGGGCTTTGTCTTCCTCCCTTAGTCTTAGAAGGGGGAAGGAAGACAGCTGAAGGAGAACTGCCTGTCGGTTGGGGTCTATGAAGAGTCCTAGTAAAGGGAAGCAGTATTGTCGAGAAAGCTCCTCTAGCTGAAATGAAATGAAGGGAGGAGACATGAATGGATACAAGCACATGTTTTGGCCTGGTTTCAGACTAACGAAACAAAGGGAGAGAATGCCAACTAAGCAGTGGAGAAAGGAGTGAAAGGGAAATGACGAATGCTGAGAAAACATTTCAGACAGATTTCCTAGTTCTCTTTATGAAGTTATCTTCTGGTAAGCTGACTTCCAGCCCCTGAGTACTGAGGACTGCTTGACTCTGACTCCTAAGACATCCTCCAGTGAGCTTTGTGTTTGTCACCCTCACACAGGACAAAATAACCAAAGCTGGCTGGCCATGGAGGCACACCCCTGCAGTCCAGCCACTCAGGAAGTTGAGGCAGGTGCATTGCACAACCTCAGGAGTTCTAGTCCAGTTTGGGTAACATTGGCGAGACCTTGTCTCTTAAGAACAAGAGATAACACACACACAAATCATCAAAGAGAGCTCGGGAACTCTGGCTCTTCTTGCTGCTCTCAGAGGGAAAGAGCAACCTGGCTATTCTAGCCAAAGAGCAGGACAGACAAACGAAGGAACCGAAATTGCCCAGCACTATCATACTGGGATGGTTTATCATTGTGGTTGCAGGAAAAATTGTTCAGAATGAGCAAAAATGTAGAATTCTGTTACACCCCTATTTTCTATATCTTAGCTTTAACACATATACCAGCTCTAATGTATATAACCAATTGCTAACTGAGCTTTGAATTGTTTGCCTTTATAACCATTCTACTCTATAGACCATGTCCTATCTACAGATATGCATAGAGAATGTCAGTGTCTGTATAGGCACTTTTATAGTTGTTCAAAGAACTTACTTTCAACTTCTGAATGGGTCAGCAGGTTAATTAATGTGCCAGTTCTAACATCTCCTTTTTACAGATGAAAGAGGCTCAGGAACAAAGATGTTACTTGAAGTCATCAAACTTCCAAGTCGGGTGAATTCAGAAAGTCACTCTCTGATTTCAGTTACTTATGGCCTCTGCCTATTAAAAATACAGCAGTTCTGCTCTACCTTAGGAAAAGCTGTTAGAAATGACGTCTTTCTTTCATTTACTGTTTGGCAAAAAGATCCCTGATGGGAAATGTTACAGAGTTCAACTCTTCTTTCTCAACAAGCCTCCCCTTAACCTGTCCCTCTCCAATCCAGCACCCCCAACAAAAATACTTCAACTTCCCAGCAAGCTTCTCTTGTCTTTTTACCTGTTCTGTGTTTCAAACTTCTCCAGCAAGTAAATGGAAGGCACTCACAACTAGCAAAGTCCAAGTGGCAAAGCTCTGGATTAGAAGGTCCCTGTGCAGAGCAGGGCTTATGAAAGCAACCAAACTTCTTCTTATAGCACCAGGGCAGGCTCACTGCCTGGCACATGGAAAGTGCTGAATGCAAATGTGAAAAAAGAGTGAAGGAATAAATGAGGTCCAGCGGGCACTTAACAAAAGGAACAAAGATAATCTCTGCTCTCAAAGAGCTTCTAGTCCTCCTGGAGAGGAGTTAGAAAACAATAATTGAACAGCTGAAGAATACTTACACAACTTCTCAATATTTATAAACTAATTTAGTACCAACTTGGCCCAGAAAGGCCAAGGAGCAATACGAAAGTTAGATGAAGTCAATAGTGAAAGATTGCCTAGGGGAAGGGGATTTTGAGTTGGGTTTGAAAGTAGATAATTATAGTAATTGGTGAGCAGAAAGGAAATAAAAAAGGCAGAAATAAAACATTTAAAGCTTAGGAAGAGCAGATTTGCTTACTGGGAGGAGCAAAAGTTTCATTAAGGAATAATGAAAAGTGAGGGTGGTGAGATGAGGGACAAAGAAAAAGGACTATGTCTTGATGAATCTTGAATGTGCCTCTGTAAGTTCATAGATTCAGAAAAATTATATAAAAACACTGAAGATGGATAAAATTGCTATTTTTTTGGTTATCATGAGTGAGGAAAGCCTGGGGCCAGAAAACCAGGTGGAAGATTTTGGGATAATGCTAGAATCAGGGATGAAGTCCAGAAGAGAGCAATGGAGATGGGAATGAAAAGCGATTCTCTCTGTAGTCACTCAGTATGGATAGAACATGCCAAGTCATATTTAAGCCAGACTTTCAAATTCACCTCTGACGTCCAGTTTCTATCACTTCAAAGCTTCAAGTTACCAGATGTGGATCTGAGTTTTCTCTGTTCACCAGATAGTTCTCACTCGGCAAGAAAGGTACTGCTCAGACTTTTGTCTGATCTTCACCAATCTATTTTCATCTTCTACAGAAATGAGATTTTCTTGTGTCAACCTGATCAAACTCCTTTTGAATTTGTTTCTTGATCAAGATTTGCAAACTGTCATTTTAATGAACTATTATTTTCAGATTTCAATATACTGAAACTTAATGATCATTTAAAATGTGACTCTATGAATGGTTACTTAAACCAGAGTGATTGAGAATGCTTGGAGTTACCTGAAGATTGATTTATTCCAATGGGCATATTTCTGTACCATTGCTCATGAGCTTATGGTAATTTTTTGTGCTAGTGGTATTAGTAATTTTTGAGTCAGCCAGCTTGGATTTGATTCTGGCTGTACAACTTACTGGCCATGTGATCTTACTTAATCTCTCTAACCTCATTTTTTTTAATCAGTAAAATGGCGAATGATAATAATATATACTGCATATAGTAGTAGCTCTTAACATGTGGCTTCCAGACCAGAAGCATCATCTGTATCACCTGGGAACTTGTTATAAATACACATTCTCAGGCCCCACACCAGATTTACTGAATCAGAAACTGAGGGTGGGGCCCAGAAGTGCATTTCAACAGCCCTCCAGGTAATTCTGATGCTTGTTGAAGTTTGAGAACCACTGTGAATAGGGTAAGCACTAGATACTTGCAGGGATTGTAATCAGTAAAGGAAATAGCATATGTAAGGGGAATGGTACAGGCCTGGTACTAATGAAATGCTTCATAATTCACAGGGATGTTAGAGGTGATGATGGTGACCATCTCTACTAGCAAGTTAGGAAGGATCCATGATTAGGAATAGTGGCCATGATTAGGCCACCAAAAGGAATATCCCATTTTCAGAAAAGTGAAAATCCATCCAGGCACTTCACAGGTAACCAAGCAGATACTTGTTTTCCAAACTTGCTCAAACATAAATCTACCCCTAATTCCCATATGAGACAGTCATATCGACTTACCTCTGTCAGTGCTTTAGCATAGATCCCTTGAACATAAGCTAATTTGCAATCCCAGAAAACAAGGTAAAAATAAGCTACTATAACTTTTATTGGTGGTTCCAGGTTACAACTCTGTCCCTGACTCCCTCTAACATTTATTGTCAATGTGGAATGCTTATTGTGGTTAGGACCTTGAAAAACCATGATTTGCCTGGTTGCATGATGGCAGATTCAAGGTTAGCATCCTTTTTTTATTATTATTTTTTATTTTTCTCCATTGTGGCCAGTAATCTGGCAGTAGAGGTGGGAAGCAGCCCATTAATTAAGTAGCCCAGAAGTGAGACTTGTCTGATTTCTGGGTGAGGGTAGACAGAGTAACAAAATATAGCTTCCATGGCTCTTCTGTCTGTTTATCTAACAAACAGCTTTGAGCTTTCACAATTTTCATGCCTGGTGGTACTATGGCAAACAAAATAGCCCCTCCATAGGGCTCACAAGTAGGGAAGATACACACACACACACACACACACACACACACACACACACACACATATATATATATCTTAATCTTGATGTATATATTGATCTAATAGTCATACATAACTATCTTTTAAACTGGAATTACAATAAATGCTATAAAGAAGTATATGGTGTTATGTAAGCCTGAAGAATGAAAT